GGTGTGATCACCGACTCACATCATTCAGCTGGAACCTCTTCCCTTTCCCGTATAGAGCCCAGGAGTTTTGTCAACTCCAAGACTGACGCTTAGCCTCCATCCTTAAACGCTGATGGGAACAGCCCATCTGGGTCAGAGACCTCATGCCTTTTGATTAACTTATTTCCCGAGATCCTCCATTTCAGATGGAGGACTAGCATCAACTGAGAGTATTTGTCCAGTCGAGGCGGAGATTGAAAGATAAGATGTCGAACGAGGCTAGTTGAACTGACCGACCTGTTCATCCAAAACATACCTGGGGACGGGGCAATATCTGAACTTCAGCAGCTTCGTCCCCATTCGTCACAAAAGAGGGATTGAGTTGACACTTTATGATCTAACGCGGAAAAATTTGTACGCGTGCGAACCTTACGGGTCATGTGACAAAACTGAATAAAAATCTCCAGGCTAGGTGAAATCGTTTGTGAAAAAGTACAGCGCAGAACGTATGAGAGGGTACCGTTCTGAAGTCTAAGGCTATTCTACAACTACCGTTCAGCGGTAATAACGTGAATAATTAATTGGAATACTGCCTAAGCTCGTTCAAAAAGGGACATTAAACACATTTGAACCAGTTTTTGTTTACTCATACGATGGAATACCGGCTCCTCCAGTCAAGCAAGCGCTTTCAGAGTGAGCCCAATCCCATCAATTGCAACAATTTTTTTGTGGGTGCCCGGCCACTTACCTACAGGAACCGAACGGCAGATTAGATTAATGAGTAGCCGAACACGTCCCTGTGTGGGTTAATAAACTGATGAACCAATCACACTCGAATGATCAAGACCAAAGGTCACCCGAATGTCGCACACCAGCGTCATCAATCGCTCATCACGCGTGAGCACATTAAGTGAATATCAATCAAGGAACGGGTATTTTGAATTATAAAAACTAAAATCGATTAACATTAAAGAGCTAATGGCATACCGATCGGCATCGGCCCCTTGACGGGCAATTGTGAATTTCATTTTAGACATGCCTCCCACGGGGATACGGTCGGAGCCGGTGGCAAATTGTAGTAGCTGACGCTGTTGCTCTGAGGTCATTGAATGAACCACGGACCAAAAATTCTTTATCACAAGAGAATCGGCTGTGTAGTCCTCGTAGTTAGTCACACGTTCCAATTCTTTGAAATCATATTCCTGTAGATAGTAAAAAATAAAAAGGGTGGGCAAGGTAGTTAAATCACTTATATTACAAATTGTGAAGACCATTCTCATTTAAACTGCAGTACAAAAAGCATTAAGGTTTCCACTGACCATAAGAAAATTATGGGGCGATTTAAGCACCCGCAGACCGCTGATAAAATTTATACTGACTGTTTGGACTTTGAATCAAGGGGTTTACAAATGATAAATTTCACACTAGTAACAAATCACACAATTCCAGTTTAGAAGTGAGCTTCATCCGGTCGACACATAGATCATAATTATCCCGTTTGGAACTTTTATGAGGAATGCTCTAACTTAACTTACTTAAAGCATGCCAATCGGAATCACGAGAGGCTAAATCTATCAGTTTCAACATACTAATGATCCCAGTTCTGATACCAAAACGCTCTATTCTAATTTGCCTATCTATGCAATATATCGTGACCAATCAAAGGAGGTCAAGAGATATCAGCAAGTGGAGCTCAAACACGTTCCATTATCGAACGAATGTTTTGATGAGTGAAACTGCCCGAACGCCTGCAGGTATAAGCCTGTATTAGTGTAAAACCTTGACGGTGAATGATGCAAACGAACTCAGCTTGATTCTGTTTACCAGATAAGTCATAAGAGTTGTTCAACAAAAACTTGGAGGTGTTTGCGTTTGTGTTGTTCTCAGATAAGTACCGAATAGCAACCGATCTACGAGAATGCGCTCGAACTTTGAACACCAGTTCTGAAATATCACTAAACCATCCGAGAGTAGAAGACCTACCCAAGTTGCTGATTTTATGATAATTAAGCGCCATACATAGATTGCAATTAACTCTTCCACAAATGTTTAAAGATCCATCAGCACGCACATCCCGTACACAAAATGTTGTACTTCGTCATTTCTATGTTCATGGAACCGCCAAGTTATGGAACACTCTCACACAGTCTATCTCATCCACCAGCCAGCTTCCATTCATCAAACGCAGAATTACTAGACGGAATCTTACGTGCATGTTCCCCGACTGTCCCCCCCCCCTTTGTGCTCCAATGTGCTTTATGTGTAATAAATCAGAAGAAAATATTAACGGTCTCATCACATTGTTCACAAAATCAGATCAATGATGCTAAAACAATATAAAAAACCGATTACTATGCTAAAAAGCGTTTTATATCATCTACGTTAACTTACACCACTTCCTCGAACGAGCAGTTCAATTTCGTCTGGACGAAATAAGAATGTAAGGGGGCTTTCATCCACAACCATTTGAAATCCCCGACGGAAAGCATTGAATTGTTTTTTCACCGATTCATTCAATAGGAAATTCGCATATAAATCTACGAACTCCTGAGATGTAAAGAAATGAATTTGGAGAATTTGGAAAAAACAGTACAATGTCAATGTGATATAGCCGGTTGAGCAAAAACCAAGCAATCAACGATGTGAGAATTCATGGAATGCTGGAAGCAAGAGTGTAGATGGACTAACCATCATCGAAGTAGAGAACATAACATCAGGAAAAAGTGTAATGAAACAGAATAAAAACAATCAGCACTTACCTGACGATTTTCTTTCGTTACCGGGATAGATGAGCCATTTGGTTTGAGTTCGTGTGAAAGTGTGTTGCCAAATGGATCCTGGTAATATACCACAAAGTAGCAGTCAAAAGCATCTTGAAGGTCGTCATCTTCATAATCCAGAAGCGCCTGAAGCCCCACGGTGAGGTCCTGCCGGTCAGATGGAACACGTAAAGCAGAATGGTGAAATCAGTGCAAGAACATTTTCGTATTTTCAGTTTTACTACTAGTGAGTAGCGCATCGTATGATCGCGTCTGCGGGTATTTAAAATCAACAATTCAATCATTACGGCGCACTGAAAACTGTGAGAAATTCAGCCGCAAAAATGGCAATAAGTTGTTTACGGATGAACATCAACTAGCGTCGGGTAGCCGATAACGTTGAAGGTTCAATTTTGGTATTCTATGTATGCTCAATTGGCCGTGAAAAGGATGTCCTCTACACGAACTACTGAGTCGGAATAAAACGCACTGGACCTGGCTCATGGGGGTGAACTGGATATATTAGTCGATAAGGGTTATTGAACTGCTCGTGTGTTCTAAAACGAGGTGGAATAAGATAGTATAAAAAACTGGAAGATTCAAAAATTGATATTTGTTATAAAACCATGACTGAGACTCAATAACGTAAATTGAACAGATCGCGATCGTGCGGTTTGAAAGATCCACTGTAGTAACAGCATCGTGCCCCCTTGAATTCTGAAGTTCATCATGACTAGACATTATGGCTCGAATGGAGAGGTAATAGTGCAGCTGAGCATCAATGCATAAAACATTAAGCGACAGT